AAATTTAACCACCGCAGTCAGAAAAGTAATTTCAATTTTACTTATTTTAATTATTCCACAATTAACCATGTCAGATCAAAAGTTACATGTTTGAGAAAAGTAAATATAAGACTAGTAAATCGAATATAAATGTTTCAAAATCGATTGTCCATAATGTATGATTCAGACGTTTGAATATATGCACTACTGAAGGTTTCCAGTAGTTATAACTTAGAAAAGAGCAGCGAGAGTGTACTTTTAGAGGAGAGCAGAACAATTGCATCCATCCTTGAGTAATTTTTAGAGGAGAGCAGCGAGAGTGTACTCAAGGTTTCAAGATGCAGGAAAAGAGTGTGCGAAGTTTAGTGAAGGACAATATATGGAATTTATCATGCATTTCAACGTTGAGCGTTAACGGTGCTATTATTGTTAGAGCAAAGACCTAACTAACGAACATATTTCTAACAGAGAGAAATCCCAAATCATCAAGTCTCTTCTTATTCCACAACACACACTACATGTATGTATAGTACGCGTAGACATAGGGTTTTGGTATTACTTAACATCCTCTATAATACCAAACCTTACAACAAACAAACTGGTATAGCTAAAACTATGAGAAACCGATTACATTCAACATGTTTCTAAGTTTTCTAAAGTTGTCAACCTTCAAAGCTTTAGTTAGTACATCGGCTATCTGATCTTCTGTGTTGCAGTGAGTCAATCAAACTCTTTCTTTATTCACCCCCTCTCTTGGAAAATGAAACATGATTTCAATATGTTTGCTACAGCCATGTGAGACTAGGTTGTTAGCCAAATCTATGGTTGATTTGTTGTCAATAATTAGCTCTATCTTGGTGTCAATTTGTTGATTTAAGTTCTTTAGCGGGAATAATAGCCAAATCGGTTGATATGTAGCATGACATGCTGCAATGTACTCAGCCTCACATGTAGATAAAGCCACAACATCTTGCTTGGTTGAACACCAAGAAACTGGATTCTTTTCCACATAAACAACATAACCCATTGTGGTTCTTCTATCAGTCTTATCCTCACACCAATCAGAATCAACGTAAGCAATAAGGTGTAGAGTTTGACTTTCTAGTTTTTCTTTAGAAAACAAAAGTCCATAATTGAGTGTTCCCTTTAAGTATCTCAACACCCTTTTTGCAGTTGTCAAATAAGAGGGTCTAGGATCAGCCATGAATCTGCTCACTAAACCAACTCCATATAAAATCTCAGGTCTGCTATGACATATAAATCTCTAGCGGTCTGTCAATTGCCGGTAATAAGTAGCAATTACTTTTGACTCGTCTTCACAATTGTCCCGTCTTTGATGAAATTCAACTAGAATTTCAACTGATTTGCAAGACTGCATTCCAAATCTGTTTAATACCTCATATACGTATTTACTTTGGTGCATTAATTAATAATCCTTTCTTGGTATGTGTGAACTCAATCCCATGAAAGAAAGACAACTCTCTCAATTCTGACATTTCAAATTCATCTTTCTATTTCTTCTTGAAATCATTTACTTTACTCAAATCATTTCCAGTGACAAGTAAGTCATCAAACATATAGGCATATCAGTATAGTTCCTTCCACATCATTATTCAGCACATAAACACCATGCTCTACTGTACATTTCCTGAAAGGCCGAAACCAACACCTTTCAGAAAACAATCAATCCTCTTATTCCAGGCTCTAGGTGCCTGTTTTAGACCATATAAGCCTTTCTTCAGTTTCAAAACTTTGTTCTCAGATCTTTTAATCTCAAATCCTCGAGGATGGTGAATATAGACTAAGTCCTCCGGTGATCCATTCAGGAAATCAGCTTTGACATCAAGATGTGAAAGAGACCAATTTATGTAACTAACAATTACAACAATCACTCTAATGGGTTTAAACCCTGCCACTAGTGCAAAAAACTTCATAATAATCAATTCTAGGTTTTTTGCGTAAACCATTTAACCACCAAACGAGCTTTATATTTTGCAACTAATCCATCAGCACGAGTTTTAACTCTAAAGACATAAAACAAGTACTACAAATTTATTTTTGGTGTAATATTTTTTACATTTTTACATGTTTTTTGTAAAATATTTTTCATATTCATACATTTGTTTCATACATTTTTTGGTGTATTATTTTCATTTAAAACATTTTTTATGGCCTTAATACCAAAAACAAAACATATTAACTAATTACTTCAATTAATTGAGCAATTAGAGTCCTTATTTTCATTATTTACATTTGATAATATATAGAGTTACATCTTCTTATGAGCGAATTACATCTTCTTGTGCATGAGTTACATCTGCCTATGTGCGAGTTACATTTGGATTTGCCTCAAGAAGTTACATTTTGCATACATCTAATTTAGATCTTCCATCAACGCGAGTTACACTTTTTAATAACACGTATTACATCACAAAATAAATCCCAACTATTGAAACAAAAAAAAATCATTTTTTTGCCAAAAAAATGATTTTTTGGAAAAAAAGTTATTTTTAATGAAACATTTTTATGGTCTTAATACTAAAAACAAAACATATTAACTATTTACGTAAATTAATTTGAGCAATTAGACTCCTTGTTTTCATTCTTTACATTTGATAGTCTATGGATTTACATCTTCTTATGCGCGAGTTACATCTTTTTATACACGAGTTACATTTAGACTTGCCTTAACAAATTACATTTTGCATACACCTAAGTTAGATTCTCCATCAACGCGAGTTACATTTTCAATAACATGAGTTACATCACATCATAAAGCCCTGCTATTCAAATAAAAAAATCAGTTTTATGCAAAAAATATTGGTTTTGCAAAAAAATGATTTCTTAGGCAAAAAAAATGATTTAAAAAAAATATTTTTATGGCCTTGATATAAAAAAACAGAACATATTCATTATTTAAGTAATCTCTTGCTATTGAAACAAAAAATAAATATATTTTTTTCAAAAAAAATGTTTTTTGGCAAAAAAAATTGATTTTTTAGCAAAATAAATGATTTTTAGAAGAAAAAAATATTATATATGGTCTTAATATTAAAAACAAAACATATTCACTATTTATGTAAAGTAATTGAGCAATTAGATTCTTTATTTTCATTGAAATCAATGTTTTATTTCTTATATTCCGTATTAGACAAGTTACATTTGGACTTGTCTGCAAGACAAAAACGAAAAAAAACAGCTACCGTACACGCGTGCACTGTTCACAAAATTTATCAATTCAATCCAATTTAGTTTTTCCAACGTGGAAATTATACAAATAGGAGACAAACATAAGAAATTTCCAAAAGTAGGACTCCATTCATGCGTAGGACATAAGTACAATCAATTTGACCATTATGCCCTTACTTTTAAAACTCTGGCGTCACGTGTAAACACCCTGCCGCTAACCACTTCCCGCACCCCAAAAACATTGAAAACTTCCTGCATGGCCAGAACTTCACGCCATAACTTCCCAACGGAAAAATCACTTCACCTTCTTCAACCACAACTTCAACCTTCTCCTTCAGAGCAACGCCGGGCAACGCCGTGCGATTACTACAGGCGACGAAGGAGTCAGTAAAGTCAAACGAATGGCGAAGAGAAAGAAGAAATCAGAGGCTCAACACATTGAAAAAACTGAAGAAGTTGAAGAAGGTCAATCTGACAGTGATTTCGAAACAAGGAGCCCTAACAAATCAAAAGCACAAAACATTGAAAAGGTTGAAATTGTTCTTCCGTCTGGTGAAGTAAGTTGTTCAATTCAATTTTGGGAGATTATGATGAAATATGCAACTGAAATTATCTACTTCTCTTACTGTTTACTTCTCATATGAAATTGTCAATAAATGTGTAAAAGTTATTGAAAATCATTATATGACTAAATATAATCATCCAGTTCCTATTGTAATCAATAATAGATTTGGTCCTATTTGTATAAATTTCCATTGATTGTATGAGTACTTCTCTTACATATATCTTATTTTATTATATAAGAAATGAATAAAAAAAGGATAGAGGTAGATATGTGAGGAATTATATGACTTAACTTAGTAGGTTGTATATAGACCCCCCACTATGTGTGTAGTTGGTAGACAATATATACATGAGATATTGTTAATCATGTTATAAATACTGAATATTGTATACCTTATTTGATATTGTCCATACATGCTTGCAACAATTAACATATCATTTATTTCATATGACTTAAGGTATGAAGCATTTGATGTTAGATTACACAATATATGAGTTGTGCTAGAAGACAGAAAATTCAAATTTTCAAATTGAGTATTGTTGTCCAATAATGCCTTATGATTATAGTACGTATAGAAATTATTAATACTAAAATGTCAGGCAATTGTTAGATCTTGCACAAACCCTGTTCTTATTACCAAGAAGAAGTTAAAGTCAAATTGTTATTCAAATGTACATACTGCCACTGAAACCATAAGGAAGCTATTAAAGGAGGACCAACTTGAATAATTCAGAAAAAGCACATTTGGTGGATTGCTGGAAATAGGTAACCTAGAGTGGATGAATAGACAACTGCTTGTTCTGCTTGTAGAAAACCATGTCAAAAAGGTTAACAAGAAGACTTGGAAAGATCGAATTTACTTTAATATAGGAAATAGGTTGGTAGCTTTTAGAAAGGAACAACTGGCATTAATAACAGGGTTCAAGATGGGAGGAGAGAAACCAATAATACCCACAAATGTAATAGGTGACATATGGAGAAGGTTTTTCAACGGAAGAAGTAATGTTACAAAGGCTGACATAAGCAGAGCTTTTGAGGAGTTCGATAATATACCTGTAGAGAAGCAGCCCTTGGATAGGGTAAAATGGCTATTCTTGACCTGATTTCCAATTACATAATTGGAAACCAAAAGACAGTGAAATGCCCAACAATCTACATCAACATGGTAGATAATCTTGATTTAGTGAACCAGTACCCTTGGGGAGATGAAATCTGGGAAAATTTATTGGAAAAAGTGCCTAAGTGGACAGAAAATATTAAAAGGGCCACAAAAGACATATTCACATTTCCAGGTTTTGTCTTTGCATTGCAAATATGGGCATTTGAAAGTTTCCCAGCTCTTAGAACGGCACATGTTTGCCAGTTAGAGGAAGAAAGGAAAGATTTGTTTCCTAGATTGCTGAAGTGGTCTGCACCAAAGAAAACTAATGTTGCAACACTAGCAGATGTCATATTTCTGAATGAAGAGGTAAAATTGTTTTTAATGTCTGTGCTATATGTAATTTAAATTCATGCTTTATGATGTGCACTAACTAATTGTATGCATAATTTCTTTATGTACTGCAGTTTGAATATCAGAAAATGGTACCAACTGAAGACGAGCTTAAGAATCCATTGATAAATGCATCTTATGTAAACAAGGTCAATAAGCCTGTCTTACTTTGAAACGTGGGCCAGCAAAACAGAAAAGAAATGTTTCTGTTGAAGGGAGTAAAGAAGAAAATGGGGATGTTCATGAAAAGGAGTCTGAAGCACCACAGATTGATTGCCCTAATGAAGAAGATACTGACTTGAAGGAACAAATTGCCAAGGGTCCAACTGCAATTGGATTAAAAAGGTTAAATAGTTTGATTAAAAGAAAAAAACTGCTGGCAACCAAAGCAGAGATGCAACAATCATGCGTAATATAATGGCTGCAGTGGTGCTCCAATCAAAGAAGATGCAAAAGTTTGAGAGAAGAATGAAAACAATAGAAGATGGAATACAAGAAGTTCTGAAAGGGCAAAAGCAGCAGGCAAAGATGCTGAAAGCTTTAATGCTTAAAAGCACTGGAAATGCAGAAGGTGAAAAAAGCGAAGAAGAAATCCATGTGCAGATTCATGAAGCATCAGAAGGAGGAATAGATAAATCAATTTTGGTCTCAGATATGCCTGGTTTTGACCTACATCTGGATCTAACACAGAAAGAGAAGGAAAGAACAATAGAAAATAATGAAACTGGTCTAGGATGTGAGAATGATGCAGAAGGTCTAGGAAGTGAGGAGGCAGAAGGTCTAGGAAGTGAGGAGGCAGAAGGTCTAGGAAGTGAGGAGGCAGAAGGTGGTATAGGCAGTGAGATGGCTGAAGGTCTAGGCATTGAGGATAAGAAAGAACTTCGAAGTGAGGATGCAAATCCCATATGTGCCCAAAAAGAGAATTCAGCAATCTATGAAGATGACATGATACTCACTCTTGCTCAAGCAAGCATTAACACACAAGAGTTGGAAATGCATGTTGACAGCGCCATTCATAATGTCATTAAGGACTTGAAGCAAACAAAGGTAATTGCTATTTGTGTAATAAATTTATTTATGTAATGATTGACTTGACCATTTTTTATTATGTTATTATAGGAAGATGAAGCAATGACTGTTGATGCTGGTGATTCAAAAGAAACAACAACTCCTGAACAAGATGAAGAACAGAACATTGAAGGAGACAGTGAATCACATAAATGTGATGAAAGAAATAAAGAGAAAGGACAACAAGAGAACATGGATGCTCACAATTCTAAAGATAAGGTAAGTAGTTACTTTAAATTTCAAAAGTTCAAAATGAAAGTAGAATAGACAACATGATTGATAAAGTAAATTTTTGAACTGATGAGGAAGTTGTAAATGCACAAGCTGGACATAAAGTTCAAATTGCAGAAGAAGATAAGGGCATTAAAAGGTCAAAAAGGGCTGCTAGGAGTCCTGATAGATACAATCCTAACCCCACAACAGAAATGAAGAAAAGGAAAATGGAAAAGGCATTAAAAAAATAAATGAAACATAAGTTTCTGAGAAGGGTACAGTTGAAGGACCATTCACTGAGGATCCAAAGCAAATGGCACCTACAGAGGACTTGGATAAGGTAAAAGAATTTGTGATGGAGGGCCTGGTAAAAAACCATTCAAGTAATATCCCCAAAAAGTACAAAAGAAAACATGAAGAACTAGTTGAATGCAAGTTTGGTATACAATTAGATCATTTCACCATACCAACAAAGACATGGATTTATGACCTCTTCACAAATGAATGTTGGTTGTCTGACATCGTAAGTTTATATCAACATATGTCACATGTAAATTATAATAATATGATGCATACAAATCAATAATTGATTGATTTTGTTACTTTTTTCAGCATATTGCAGTGGCATTTTATTACCTGGCACTGAAAAGAAAACAATACCAAATCAAGCAAAAATATGCCACAACAGACCCATTATTTATTGGGGTGATGAAGTTGAAGTGTGAAATGGTCACTAATGACAAAACAACAATGACTGAGGCAGCTTCTAATAGAAACATAATGAACACAATGCTTGGATCAAATGGGTTGCCATGGGAAGAAGCTGACTTTGTATACATGCCACTGAACATAGGGATGCACTGGATACTCTTGGTGTTGGACATTAATGGAAAACGTATCAGAGTCTATGACTCCCTAAAGAGAAGAGGAGATTCCTTGGCAACGATTAGGGCATTCCTTCCTTGCTTGGAGACCTTCTTACCAAGAGTAATGGAGAGTTTGGGAGTTTATGACAAAAGACCGAATGCACAAATTGGAAAGGGCAAAATTCGTGTAGATATAGTCCGTAATTGTCCACAACAAGATGATGGGTACGTCATGTTATAATTTAACTATTCTTCACATATCTGAATACATCATAAATGTTTAACTTCATATTAAGTACTTATGCATTTATAGGGGCAATTGTGGTGTCTTTATTATCAAATTTGCTGAGTTTCTCATGATGGACAAAGATGTGAGTGAAGTTTCAAAGCAAGACATAGAGATGTACCGACAAAAGATGACGACAGAGCTACTGATGTATGCATCACGAAGGCAGTAGTTGGACTAGATGCTTTGTAATAAATATTTTGTTGGGAACAAAAATATTTCTGAATTTTCTTTGTTTTGGTCATTAAGTGTTGTTACTAAGTATTCAACACAGTTGGTTTGACTATGTGTAATCTACATTTTTAGCAACATATGTGATGCTTGTTCGCTTTTAGCCTGTGTTTAATGTGAAGTTGTTTTGCGAAATCTGGTTAAAGTATTTCATAAAGTCCATAATTGGACAGTAATTAGTCATTAATATCTCAGTTCTAGACATTAAAAGTTCAAGTCATATACATTACATTTCAATGACATTTATTTTCTGAGTATTTGATTTCTCAAACATCTTACTCAAGAATATTCTTCATGATGTCTCATAATACCATCCAGCTATGAAGATTGTTGAACATGTGAGGAAGAAGCTTACAATAACACAATAGTGAACTTCCTTGGTGCTATTGTTCAGTTATGTGTGTAACTAATTTTAGTGTCCATGCAAAAGTAAGGTCTGTGATAGTTGATTCATACTAGTAAAGAAGAAAGACAAACCGCAAGATATAATTATAGATGTCACTTTTAAAGATTCACTAACAAAGAGTGTAATTATGGTCTTCGTGTAGACATTACGTAGTACATAAGTAGACAATAATTTTCATCACAGCAGCAACTTGGTTGCATTTTAACAATCAATAAAGTCAGTATGAATAACAAAATAACATAAAACTATGAAGCACGGACTGGGATAGGATTTCTGCAAGACTTCTTATTGTGGCCGCCTTTCTTACACCGTGTACACCGCTGCTTGGAACCAAACTCTCCAATTGAAGGAATACGCTTCTTCTTAGGTCTACCCGGTTGGCGTGTGAGGCACGTAGGTGGCTTGCAGATTTCAGATGCCACAGAAGCAGGAACACCCCAATCACAACGAGAACCAAGAGGGTGAACTTCGCCTATATAAGCAGCAACCCACTCACGTGTGAAATAAAACTTTGAGATGTAATCATAGCACGATAAACCTCGACGATGACCTACAACTGCAACTCCATGTACACATATAAAGTGATCAAGTTGAAATTAATAGCATAAGCATGTTTTGTCTTTCAAATTAACAACAAAGCTTCTGGAAGTTTTGTCCACCACTTCAAATTCATATTGACTAGCAGGATTGACCTAAAACAAGGAAAAAATTGTTAACATTAGTTACAATTAAAGCATTAGTGAAGAAAGATGATAAGAACAAAAAGATAACAATGCCATAAAAGGTAGAAGGTAAGAACGAAGTTGACACTTACACTCATAAGAGCTGCCTCGGCATGATAAGAACGAAGTTGAGATTCAAAATGGGCAGACAGAATTGTTTTACAACTTGATGAAAAATCACGACGTTCACAAAACCATTTTTGCATCCTTCCCCGCAAGAAGTCTATCAGCTTTGCTATAGGATACTCACGAGGCACACGGTCCACTGAATTCACTAACTCGGTGTTGTTAGATGTCATTATAGAATACCTACAACGAGTAGCAAAACAGCGAGCCCATTTCTCAACACCCATTTCATTCAAATAATCACGGATACGGGGATCTTCTGCATCTAATAAAGCCATATACTCTTCAAATTGAGTAGGAGTGGCAGCCCTAGCAGCTTGATTAAACTTCCATGCAAGACCTGTAGTAGAGCCCTTGAACTTTGATCTAATATTTCCTAGGATACGGTACACACAGTAGCCATGTTCAGCATGCGGAAACACCACTTTTACTGCATGTATAATACCATCGTGACGATCTGAAACAATATACAAGTCTTCCCTATATGCAAGACACTCCTTCAGTTTCATAAAAAACCAAGTCCATGTTTTCCTTCGCTCAGTATCACACACACCAAAAGCCAAAGGGAAAATCTGGTTGTTAGAATCTTGAGCACATGCAGTCAATATAGTACCCTTGTACTACGCTTTCATAAATGAGCCATCAATTATAAGAACCAGAATACAATGCTTCTAGCCTTGAATCCATGCATCCAACGACATGAAGAAAGACTTGAACCGATCATGTGCCCCAACATTTAACAAAATCAATGAACCAGGATGTTTCTTTCTAAGAACATAAGCAATGGAGCATAAGGTAACAATTGATATGATTACTCATCTGAACCCATCAACTTTTCTTGAGCTTTCTTGTTTGCAAGCCAAGCTTTCTTGTAAGGTATAGTCAAACCATAATCTCTATTTAAATCAACAATAATATCTTTCGGAGCATAAGGTTTTCTAGATGCATCCGCATATCTGTGTTTGATGAGTTCAGCAATAATTTTTGTGGTAGCTTGGCGGTGGGGACCTTGTCTCACATCAAGTGAGCATGTATGCACATAATCAAATCTGGAAGTTGTACAACATTAAGTAGTCATTAAAAAGTCAGTGATTAGACAATAACTTAAAAATAGTACAAAATCAGATTGTAAATGTTCAGTTGAGTAACATAAATGAATAAATTACTTTCTTATTTGAAACATTTGACATCCACTCAACCTCACTGCACGTACAGCCCAATCACAATTCTCATCATCAACACAAACAACATGCAAGACTTTTCTAGTTGATGTCCTTGTTTGATATTGGAAAAGATTTAAAATGACATACATCTTCAAATGATGGGCTAATGATTTCTTATCCTGGTAGATAGCATCTATAGCAATACGAGTAAGATGAAAGTGACAGATTACTTGAATATCTTGAAAATCATGAAAATAGTCTAAATCAAAGTATTCATTAACAATAAGATCTTCACTGCCTGAAGATGTAGGTGAAGAAACTGCATTACTAGAACCAGAAATTCGTCTAGGTAATGGATTTGTATCATCACACTGAACAGAATTATCAGCATTTGTAGCATACATATCCAAAGACATATCTTCAGTTTGAGGAGAAGAAATATCAAATGTGTGATGATGCATGATAGAAGTGTCTTCAAGATCATCAAATTCACCATTTGCGGCCACATTTAAATCAAATGCAGGAAGTTGTGAAGAGAAGTGGGAAGCAGTAGACACAGAGAGTGGAAACAACTCAACACACAAAGGATACTTGGCATAATCAGGTTGTGATTTTTTAAGAGCCAAATAAAAGCACAAACTGTAATCATCATTAACAACCACTGGAGGAGGACAATCTTCAACCAAATAACTCATCTTCAACTTTTCATTCATAGCAAATGCACCAATGCATGAATACACCAAAGCAATAAAACGAACATACAATGTCTCATCTGGAACTATGACACCACAAGTTCGTTTATTACAGAAAACATAGGATTCATCCCAACTTCCATCCACCTTTAGCATAATCAACATGTTGTTTTGATCTGAGTAAAAACAGATAAATCAATTCAAATATCCTATTCAACTCATTACATAATATATTGATGTGAATAAGTAATTGTGATTACAAAACAAATAAATATGTAATGTAGTCATGTATGAAAAAATAAATGCAAAAAACTAAGAAAAGAAGCAAAAACAAAAATAGTAATAAAGTCATATTTAACGAACTGTAGGCAGAGCACTAATACACAAACTCATGTACTATGAACTTCAAATCTATTGATGCAGAAGAATGTCTAAGTGCAGTACACAGAAGTGATAAAACGTCCAAATAATCTCCCGAAGTGTGGTACACAATAAACCATAAGCAAATAATTTCAGTGTGAAGAAAATTAAATGACCAAAATCATAAACAATGTAATTCTGAAAAAACGAACAAAAAACTGTAATCAAAACACACAATATACAAACTTACAAGACAAAGTCGCAGAAGAAACGGGCCACAAATTGTGATGAAGCTCAATCGGAAGTTCACAGCTAACTCCTCTCCGAATAGAGATACTGAGTCGCAATTGTTGGAGATTGAGTTCGAATTAGTGATGCAAATTAGACAGCGAAACTCCAGAGCGAAGTTTGAAGAAGATCGAGCAAAGGATCATGTTTCCTTCCATGGAAGAAGCAGTAGTCGGTTAAGTAGTTAGCACACAAAGCAGAAGGAAGCGGAAGACTATTAAAAGCGGAAGTCTATTACGAGTAATAAACAATTAGGGGTATTCTAGGTAAGTTAAATTTAAGTTTCCTAAAACAGTATTAATTAAGATATACGATTCCCTCTTCAATTATTTTGGGTTTGATTTTGGGTTTTTCTATTCAAAATGTCATCCCTAACCTAGTGTACTACCATAGGAAATCAGTAGTGCGAAAAAACAAGAGTTCTCCGTCATAATGAAGGCCGGCTAGTGAAAACTCGGGCACCCGGCGGGAAACATTTCTAGGGTTTTTACTTTTTAGTAACTCTACGCAATCGCTTCGCCTTGTATCTTAAGTCTGTTTACTGTTGAGGGTAGGTTGTGTTCACCTGAAGAATGGCGTCAACTGGACAGATACAATCGTGGGCCAAGAGACCTAACTCAGCATCAACAAGAGAAGCAGATCGGCTCATCATTACCCCTTTAGGGGCGGGGAGTGAAGTTGGGCGGTCCTGCGTCTACATGTCTTACAAAGGAAAAACAGTTCTGGTAAAGATCGATTGTATCTTTTCATTTCTCTGATGACAGGTTAGTCTATTGATTCTGAATTCGGATATACATTCATAAATCTTTCTTGTTTCATGGCAGTTCGACTGTGGGATTCATCCGGCTTATTCTGGCATGGCTGCATTGCCATACTTTGACGAAATTGACCCTTCAACTGTTGATGTTCTTCTAATTACCCAGTTTGTTTCTCTTACTCAGCACGCCAGAATCATCATTCATTTAATGTGGCACTATTTTATTTGTATTGGTTTATAGCATCTAGTGTTTTATGTTCCGTTAGAGAAATGCGAGTGCTTGTGAGAAACTCATGCACCAAGCATAACACATTTTTGTGTTTGTATAGTTTAGTTAATATGGATAATTTTCCCAGTTCGTGTTTGTTTCTGTATGGCTTTTATGTTTTTTAAATCTGAGCCTCATATGTGATTTACTAGTGCGCATTCTGTGTAATGCTTCTTTCAGTTGAGCTTGCCTTGATAATTTCACCAAATGCCTCCAACATTATTCTGGCACCTTATATAATTGCATAGTTTGATGTTTCTGTTACTGGCTCTTGTTTGTTGAAGTGAATGTTTATTATTGCATATTTTGCTAATTTCACTCTTTAAGTTCGAGCTTTTCCTGTCCATGCAGTTTTCACTTGGATCATGCTGCTTCCCTCCCATATTTTCTAGAAAAGGTCTATTGGTTTATCTTTAATTGAGTATTTAACAATTTAACAAGTATGTATATCTACTAATAAGCTAATACCACCTTTTTTCAGACCACATTTAAAGGGAGAGTTTTCATGACCCATGCTACCAAGGCAATTTATAAGTTGTTATTATCAGATTATGTTAAAGTGAGCAAATTTTCTGTTGAAGATATGCTATTTGATGAAACTCACATCAACAAATCCATGGATAAAATTGAGGTATATATTCCAGTTGCATGTGCTTTTTCCCACCTACTCACTCTGACTCATGGAAAATAAAATAATAACTTTAAAATATCAGTAGTTAAAATGAGTTGTCCTTTTGCAGCACCATATGCTTACACTCAACCATTTTGGACGTGGTAAACCAGATATGAATGTGAAATTCACTGTTCACATAATCACATGTTTTTTGTACAAAAATGATGTAAAGGAACATTTGCTTTTCCTCTTTTGGCTTCTATAATTGCATCACAGACATTTATTATGTACTCAAGTCTCAGAAAGCCCCCCTTTTTAGGACCCCCCCCCCCCCCCCCCCCCCCCCCCCCCGCAAAAAGAGACTGGTTCTACGAGTCACCTTTTTTCTAAAGTAGAATTCCTGAGCAGCAAGATCCAAGAGTTTTTTGTTAATTTACTCTGAACCATCATGTGTGTAGGTTTAAGCCTTTAAGGGGCATAAGGGACATTCATAATTTTTAAAGCTTGTACCTTTTTGAGTTGATTAAAAGTAAAAAATTGCTTTACACAAAGAAGACACTTGTTTTGGATAGAGGGAGTATGTGTTAATATTGTGATGTGTAAGCTAAGATATACTTGAATATATGTATAAACGTTGTCAAAGTTGCCACTTGCCAGCAAGATGTGATGATAACTACTGGGAAAAATAAACCATTAAGAGACATATTTACTGGCTGTTCATTTTTTTTGCAAACATTGCAACTATTTATTGTTCAATGTTTTTTAGGTGATTGACTTCCATCAGACAATGGAAGTAAATGGCATCCGTTTCTGGTGCTACACTGCCGGCCATGTTCTTGGTGCTGCCATGTTTATGGTCAGTATTGCTGGTGTTCGAGTTCTTTATACTGGAGACTACTCTCGTGAAGAAGACAGACATCTTCGTGCTGCAGAACTCCCCCAGTTTTCTCCGGACGTTTGCATTATTGAATCAACATATGGTGTTCAACAACTCCAACCCAGACACATTAGAGAGAAACGCTTCACTGATGTGATACACTCAACTCTCAGCCAAGGAGGCCGTGTCCTAATCCCTGCTTTTGCATTGGGCCGAGCCCAAGAGCTTCTGCTTATACTAGATGAGTATTGGTCTACTCATCAAGAGCTCCAGAAGATCCCCATATACTATGCTTCACCACTTGCAAAAAGATGTATGGCTGTTTATCAGACCTATATAAATGCTATGAACGATAGAATCCGCAACCAGTTTATCAACTCAAACCCCTTTGATTTCAAGCACATTTCGCCTCTGAACAGTATCGAGGGCTTTCAGGATACAGGCCCTTGTGTGGTTATGGCAAGTCCCGGCGGTCTTCAGAGTGGGCTTTCAAGGCAGCTCTTTGACAAGTGGTGCTCTGACAAGAGAAATGCTTGTGTTATTCCTGGATATGTTATTCATGGGACACTTGCAAAGACAATTATCAATGAACCGAAAGAGGTGACCCTTACAAATGGGCTTACTGCTCCTTTAAACATGCAGGTACATTATATTTCATTCTCAGCTCATGCAGACTATAACCAGACAAGTACATTCTTGAAAGAGCTAATGCCGCCTAATATAATTCTGGTTCATGGAGAAGCTACTGAGATGGGGAGGCTCAAGCAAAAGCTCACCACTCTATTTGCCGACCAAAACACCAAGATTATTACACCCAAGAACTGCCAATCTGTGGAAATGTACTTTAGCTCTGATAAAATGGCAAAAACTATTGGAAAATTGGCAGAAAAGATCCCTGAAGTGGGTGGAACTGTCAGTGGGTTACTTGTGAAAAAAGGCTTCACTTACCAGATAATGGCCCCTGAAGATCTCCACATCTTCTCACAACTTTCGACTGCAAATGTTAATCAGAGAATTACTATCCCATATTCAGGTGCATTTGCTGTGATTAGGCACAGGATCAGGCAAGTTTATGAGAGTGTGGAATCATCAACTGATGAGGTTTCTGGAGTTCCAGCACTTCGGATTCATGATAAGGTAGTGGTTAAACAGGAGTCAGAGAATCATCTTTCTGTGCATTGGACTGCTGACCCTATCAGTGATATGGTCTCGGACTCTGTTGTTGCATTGGTTCTAAATGCAAACAAAGAAATGCCTAGGTTGCTTGTGGAATCAGAACCTGACATAAACATGGATGAAGATACAAAAAAAACTGAGAAAATTATTCACACACTGTTGGTGTCTTTGTTTGGGGATGTTAAAATCGGGGGGAATGGCAAGCTACTTATAAATGTTGATGGGAACACAGCAGAACTTGACAAACAGACCGGTGATGTTGAAGGTGAAGATGATGGCCTCAATGAACGCGTAAAAACAGCATATAGGCGAATTGCAAGTGCAGTGAAACCCATCCCACTATCAGCACCTTAAAGAAAGGTAGACTTTCTGCTATGCAATCTCTTTTGATTCATGACCATATCTTGAATTGTGATTTACGATCCATGGTCCAATATATTCCTGATGAGCATGCACAACCTGGAGTACTCAATCCACAACCTGGAGAAATGCATGCACTTGAAGTGTCTTGATTTAGAAGTTAGAGTGTTAGAGTCTTTCTATCAAATCCATATGAAGAGATTAACCATTGATCAAGGTTGTCACTGTGCTTCTGCAATGTGCAGTTGTCTTTTATGGCTTTTCAGTGTCTCATTTTTCTCTTTTGATGCACTCGTGCTTCTTGATATCTTCCTCTTCTTTTTATTCTCTAGTTAATGCTATGTGTATTGGCTGTTTAGTTTCTTAGGGGGGTGTATGCCTTACATATTGTGACTTGTGAATCACCTTAGGTGATACTCTATAGGATCACTGCCTTATATGGGAATAATATAAGATCGTGAGAATATAAGGTTACTATTAGAATTTGTTTCACTGAACATGATAATGATGATATACGTAGTACTTATTTTGTTAACTTGTACGACAACAAACTTTCTAAAATATAACTTCGTTATAATCACCACGTTAATCTGCAATACATTAGAATGTAGAGGTGTTTCTATTTCCTCCCCTTTTTACATAGAAAGAAGATTCAAACAGGTTTATGCCACCCCACCTGATTACATACATAGGTAACATTATATGACCAGATCCACCCTCTATGGTATATATGAGTAAAATTGGCGACAAATTCCATTGTCTTTGGTTTGAAGCTCAAACCTGTACCTAGTCCACTTTCTGGTGGTTGTTTTATTGGTCGCACATATTAATTACTGTTACAAAGTCACGTAGCTCTTCTTTCATAATTGGATTATTTGTTAATGTAAGATATTAACAACTTGATTCATCCCTTGCCTGTCTCCTTATTGCCAATACTGGTTCGAGATGATAATGATGGTCTTTTGGATAAAATTGAGAAAGTGAAGGTTTTTTATGAAGATTGTAGCATACAGTTGAGGTTTATTCAGAAACTGATATAGTAAATGCTGGTCTGCAGTGGAGCATGAAGTACTAGAAAGAGGGAGGGGATGATAGCAGGCTTTATACCAGCACACGCCAAACATGACAAGGGAGCTCTTGCATACAAGGGAACTGTGACCATCTCCTGGTTTATTATGCTTGAAAATGATTGAACGGAGCTCTTGCAAGTTGCAAATCTCATTCCCTCTGCATGTTTGGCAGCATCTGCTAGTAACCATAGTTTCAAATGTATCTTTTTTCTTTATTAAGGTTACTAAATCTTCCATGCAGAGTGTAGTTGTCATGGCAGTTGACTGACCTGAGGTGTGACTGCTTTGTGCAATCATTCTTCAACTTCTTTTATGTCGAGGTGATCAAGTTCATCAATTTCCTTATTCCTTCCATCAATGAATGAATGCCATTTTATAGATTCCTTAGTTGGTCAATGCCTGCTAATTTGGACATCCATAATTCCATAGGCTCCGCCCAGCATTCTGCTACTGCGGACCAGCCTATTACCACTGTCATGGTGTCACCAATGACACCACCGTTAAACCCTAATTGGTAAACAAAAAATGTTGTGTAGTAAATATTAAACTCTAAATGCTAGACTTAATCTCAACCATTAAGCACTAAATGTTCAACGGAATCAAAACTAAACAATAAATGTTAAGCTCTGAATGCTAAACCCTGAACTTTAAAGAAAAGATTGAGCGGCTAGTATCTCAAAAAATCTAAACAAACTTATTGGTAAAAATGAGCATTGAGTTGCACTTATCAGATGTTTCCCTTTTATTTGAAGGTATAAAGTTTGTAGGCCACTAGGGCAATGATGTACACCAAATTTAAATAAGATCAAACTTACATCAATAGAGCACAAATTTCAAGAGTGTTTAATAACATCACCAATGGTATATTCAGAATTAACTAGAAATAGTGAATCATTCATCTTCAAAGGGAAAGCTGTCATAGTTTATAAACTCTTTTTCTATCTCTAATTGTCATTTATTTTTTCATTTTACTACTGTTGTGGAATTATGTTCACAAATATGGACCGCACAATTTTGACTTTTGTAGAAGTATGTAAAATCAAAAGATGAGATAAAGGAGGATCAAATGATCAATGATAAAAGGAAGAGTTGTTTATGATAAAAGGAAGAGTTGTTTATGTTATGTGTGTACAAGGATGAGGATGAAGTTGGGATGATGAACCAAATCAACAATCTAAAGATCCTCTAAAAGCATCAAGTGGTCTGATGACTAGGTTTAAATAAATAAAAATTCAAGAAGTGTTCAACGCGTTCGTACAAGCAAAATGAAGTAGGTAATAAAGAGGGATTTTCTTGTTCAACAAGCTTCAAATTACTCTTAACAAGTGATATATATATATATATATATATATATATATATATATATATATATATATATATATATATATATATATATATATATGAATTAAAGATGTATCTTACTCACCACTCTATCCCCTTACTCAACACCCAAACACCTTATTCACCATCCAAGATTCCAAGCCCCTTACTCATAACCTCAAAAACCGTATTCACCACCCAAACATCTTACTTACCACTCAAGCACCCTTACTCATCTGCGCCTTATTCATAGAAAAACACCTTACTCACTTTACCACTTAACCATAGGTGGCACACTAATATTAAAGCATAAATTCTTCACGGGGAAGGAAATCATTTCATTGGTTACCTTGAAAGTTATTTTTGTTATGTATCATATCTTTATATTATATAAAACAATTGGGTGGCAAATTGATTTTGCAATTTTCCCTCCTAAAGCAATTGCAGTGCTCAATTTATTTTGCAATTTTGCAATTGAGTTGTTTGGTCCATCCAGACACACAATTAATCTTTGTATTATATAAAGCAATTGGGTGGCCAATTAATTTTGCAATTTTCTCTCCTAAAGCAATTGCGATGCTCAGTTGATTTTACAATTATGCAATTGAGTTTTTTGGTCCATCCAGACACACAATTAATTCAATTAAAATTCATTTATTATTCATATGGTCATCTTTATATTATATAAACCAATTGGGTGACCAATTGATTTTGCAACTTTTCCTCCTAAGCAATTGTGGTGTTCAATTGATTTTACAATTTTGCAATTGAGTTGTTTGGTCCATCCAGGCACACAATATAATTAATCTTTATATTATACGGAGTATAAAGCAATTCGGTGGCCAATTGATTTTGCAATTTTCCCTCATAAAGTAATTGTGGTGCTCAATTGACTTTCCAATTTTGCAATTGAGTAGTTTGATCCATCGAGACACACAATTAATTCAATTAAAAGTCATTTATTATTCATACGGTCATGTATCTCTATATTATATCTTTATATCTTTATATTATATAAAACAATTGGTTGGCCAATTGATTTTGCAATTTTCCCTCCTAAAGCAATTGCGGTGCTCAATTGATTTTGCAATTTTGCAATTGAGTTGTTTGGTCCATCCAGACACAAAATTAATCTTTATATTATATAAAGCAATGGGGCCAATTGATTTTGCAATTTTTCCTCCTAAAGCAATTGCGGTGCTCTATTTATCTTTATAACATGATCATTGATCGATTTAATAACACTTCAAGTATGGAATAAGTTTGTAACAAAATAATCAATCAATCTCCTTTTATCTCATTAATGTATATTGAGTATTCTCGTGCAACACACGGGTTCATCGTCTAGTGATAATAATAGGGTGATGTAAGCAAGACATCGAGTTGTCCGTCAGGGTGAGAACAACGAGTTGTCCTTATGGGTGCAAGTTGTGAGCCGTCTTTATGGGTGCGAGCGGCGGGCCGTCATTATAAGTGTGAGGCATACATCATCGGTAGTGAGCGCAACGGCAATAAAACTAGGCCGACTGTACTATCTACGTAGTAGAATACTACTCCATCCGTGCAGCTAACAATGAGACAATACAGATTGACAAACAAACAATAAAAAGTGATTTATGTGATTGATACTGAATTGATAAAGTAAAAATAAAGTAAGAGTGATTTAGAGCCACACAAACTTTACCAAATTTATATATAACAATCTTAGAGCCCGTTTGGCAGCACGAAAATCGGCTGTTCTGGCTGATTCTGTTGAAATTTATGAAGTTCTGGCTGAAGTGACTGCATTTGCTGATTCTGCTGATACAAGAAAAAAATATTTTTAAATTATATTTTATTAATAAAATAAAGAAAAAGTATATTTAAAAATAGCTAAAATGGTCATCTACGGTAAATTCAGCCAATACAACCAGAAAAGTAACTCCAACCTTACTTTTTCAGCTTATTACACAATTCAGCGCGCTAAAGCAAAATTTACGTGTTTGATAAAAAAGTTGGCTGATAAGTCTGATAAGCCGAAAATGAGGGTTGCCAAACAACCTCTTAGTGTGACTTATCCCAAAAGTAAAATGACACGATTTTAGCGGGACCAAGAAAGTACTACGTATATAATTTGAGCTAATCCCCCTGTCCTTTCCTCCTATCACTGTTCAAGTGAAAACAAAATAGCGAGCAGTTTTTCTGCTTAATTCTGGCCGTTGGTTTCGAGAGAGTGCCACAGTGCTGCTGCCTTTTGGTGTCCACGGAGGGATAAGAGACGCTACAAAAACCAAGCAGCAGGTAAACCCCTCAACCCTTCCCTAGCTACCTAATTAGGTAAGCTTTTAGTTTATTCTTCATTGTTTTCTGCCATTTCCCTCTGATTTATGGTTAGGATATGCTAGCCAGTAGCCACACATTTCAGCAATGTCCTTTGGTTCATAATTTTACCTAATTCGCTTGATTTATTTGTTAGTTTGAGATTTTTTTAATTAACACTGTCATGTTACCCTGTATATTTTCTATGATTTATTTGTCAGTATATATTTTTGTTCATTTTAGGTTTATATGGATTCAACTAATCCACACCAGTTTTGTGCACACATAGTAAGCAAACAATAAAATCTTTGTAACCAAAAAACTTGCTCTGCCCTTGAGCCTTGTAAGGTTTGTGAATTGTGCTTACATGTTAATATATGATTCATTATTGATATTTCAGTGTAGATGATATGAAGAGAATATTTAAAATTAAATAAATAATCCTATCCTGGAATTTGGTTTTAATATTTTAAAAGAAAAGTTTCTTAAATAACAGCCTATATTTGAGAGTAAGTATTCTAATTTGGTTTTTGTATGAGAAGGCCATTGATGTGCTGACTTCATAGTTCATAAACAATAACTAGCAATGGCCCCAGCTGCAGCAGAAACGATCAATCCTAGAGGTCAGTCTGAGTGGGTGACGACTAACGAGTCATCTCTCTATATTTTTTTTTGGGGGGGGGGGGGGGGGGGGATGTTCAAATGAGAACGGCTTATTAGCAGAAAATGAGTTTGATGCATTGGATTTAAGATCTAAGAGCTCTGAACTGACGGTAGAATCATAGAACATTTAATTAAAACACAATAGCATATTGTAAATATATTAAGTTTTTGTAAGTGTACTACTCAAAAATTGAAGTGCACTCAATCACTCGTGTACTTTATTTCTGTGAAAAAACAAATATTTCTTCCTCCGTTCCTTGGAAAATGCTGTTATAAGGCACTCTTATTTCATTCCATTTTTTGGAAGTACTTCTCCCTCAATGAGAAACTTGTATTTCATCAAATTCTGTAATGTCTGAAATTTACTTTGTCAAGTCACCTACTGAATCGAATGGAAAATATGTGTTTTGTCTTTCCTTCACTCTTAACATTTTCAGTTTAGAATTTTCATAGAAGTACACAAGTCTCATTTTACAGTCCTAGGTTACTAGTCATTTATTATATTATGAAATAAGGGTATAAGATACCTCTCTCTCTATCTCACAAGGATAGTCCATTTTTTCAGTTTTGGTTCGTTCTACATATACAATTCCACCTACCATAGTAATTCCATGAATTCTTCATTCCATGAATTCCACCCTTATTGATGTACTACCTCGAAGTATAGTAGATTTTTTTTTACTCCAGAGGCTAGGGGAGGGGCCTGGACGGCCTGGAGTAATCATGGCTGAAACTCACTCTATTGAGTTTCAAACCCTTATGTGTCTAGCGGGTTTCGAACTCGACACCTCCAACTAGGCACGGTAACCAAGCATTCCAGCCGAGCTGGTTGTGAGGTTGGAATGCTTGGTTAGCTTGAAGTAACGTAGATTGTAAAACCTATGACAAATTAGAGTATATATGGAAAAAACAATAAAATATACTACGTACTACACGTTTCTTAAAACTTTGTCATCTTTGACTTTTCAAGTCAATGATGGTAAAATTTGGACCATGATTTTGCCTATGACAAATTAGTTTATATATGGAAAAAATGATAAAATATACTACAAGTCTCTTAAAACTTTGACATTTTGACTTTTCAAGTGAATGGTGGTAAAGTTTGGACCATGATTTTGATTACTACTCCCTCTGTCTCATTTTAGTTAGCCATCTTTTACTTATCCATTCAAAGATGCTAGACTTTGACTGATAATATATTTATATACGAAAGTACATAAAATATGAAAGTGATATAAAATTATCTCTGTTAAAAGTATTATAATAAAAGTATAAAATTTATAATTCCACTAAATTGTAAGTGTTAAAATGATTAACCAAAGTTTACCATCATTGACTATAAAAGTCAATGATGGCTGACCAAATGGGATGGATGTAGTTTAATATTATGAAAGTTATAAATTTGGTATTTTTATGAAAGTATTTTAACAAAGAACATTTTCATATTATAAATAATTTCCTATAAAAATATATATATGGTCAAAGTTGAGCATGATTGACCAAAAAATTCAAAGATTACAAAGTTTTGAGGTACAAAGGGAGTAACGAATTTACTATATTAACTTTCATTTCTTAATTTGTATGGATATGAGTTGTAGAACATCTTTGTGGGATGGAGGAGTAACATGGTTGAATCAATGAAATGACTGATAATAAAATAGTTTAGAATTTCCTTTTTATTTAGCTGATATAAAAGGAAAGATTCTTCAACTATAATCTTATACAAAGTATATATACATATATATATATATATATATATATATATATAATCTTATAGATTCCGGATCAAATTAGAAAAGTGCTTATCGTGAGAACGTGAGAACAGACATTTACCCATGCATAATGAAGCTCGTCCATTGCACTTTTGTTGCGTTAGCATAATATTTACCAAATTGCCACTGGTTCTATATATTATTGGCTTAGTTGAGAAAAGTTAAAAAAATGCATCACATTGGATTAAATGTGTGTGTTAACACGTTCTCACAATAAGCATTGTTGTTATTGGAACCACACCCTATTTACTATGAAATTGTCTGACAATAGGAAGAGAACATTGAAGATGGCAGGAGAGATCATAGGAGAGTCCTTGAAGAAGAAGATGTTAAGAGGTGCCAGCGCCTCACAGACGTATGCAATGGCTCTTCAGGCCCCTGCCGTCCCTGTTGTCAACACTGTAGACGAATGGGCTGATTTCGCTTAGATTTAAGAAATATATATATATATATATATATATATATATATTCTGTGGAAGTTTGTTAGTAATTGACTCCATGCAAATGTTTCAGCTTCAAAAGCAACCCTTCCAAAATGCAAAATCCAATTAATATATCCATTAAGCATTGCATATATCACTGTTTTGAAATTCCATCCTATAAGAAATTAAAGGATAAAAGGATGACATAATATGAGAAGTAGCCCAAAACATTATACATAAGTTTATGCTATTATATATGGCCAGTATGGGATGAATGAACATATATCATTGTTAATCAGTTACTTTGACATTCATTTCATCGTGAGTTTGCCATTCTGATGTCACTTTTATCTGCTATTTTGGCTAGATGTCTGCATTGTTGGATTTGCCAGGACACCCATTGGTGGCTTCCTTGGCTCTCTTTCATCATTGCCAGCTACTAAACTTGGATCCATAGCTATTGAAAGTAAGATCCTTACCATTCTAATGAGTAGTTTCTTGCATCAATAATATAACTTCATACCAAAACTTTATTTCCTTCCATTTATGACTTTATTAGGTGCTCTGAGGAGAGCAAGTGTTGATCCATCTCTTGTAGAAGAAGTTTTCTTTGGAAATGTTCTGAGTGCAAACATGGGACAGGCCCCAGCAAGGCAAGCTGCGCTGGGTGCAGGATTACCAAACACAGTGGTCTGCACCACTGTTCACAAAGTCTGTGCTTCTGGGACCAAAGGTATGCTAGCTCCTTCTTCATGTTGAGAATGGAAATATTGTGTTGTATATTGATTAATGAATCGTACAAGTATGATGTATAAATACAAGTACATTTGGCAAGCAGGATTATAAGGAATGCACAATCCTAATACAATCAAGTACCTATAATACAAAATTACAAATAGGATTCTTTCCAAAGATAACTACTACCTCCGTCCCGCTATGATTGTCCCGTTTTACCTTATCGGTCCGTCCCACTAAGATTGTCCCATACCAAATTTGGCAAAGTTTGTGTGGTTCTAAATCATTGTTACTTTATTCTTACTTTATCAATTCAATATTAACCACATAAACCACTTTTTATTGATGTGTGTGTCACTCCCTCTTGTCCCATTATTAGCGGGACGGAGGGAGTCTATTATAAATATAATACATATATGCCGAACAGATCATTTTTCCAGTAAACTCATGAACAAATACAGTTTATAGTTGAGATGTGGTCGTTCAATTGGGCCATAATGCACATCAGTCAAACACAATCAAAGATCAAATCCAATTTAATGAATCTATTAGCTAGTTAGTCTCACCCAGCACATTATAAACAAACATAATTCATATTTTAATGTGCAAATTTTATTAACAATGCTTGTGAAATTGGGATTGTTAAAAGATCAAATCCATTTTATCTTACTTTATCTTTTTATTCTTCTTATCTTTCTTCTCGTTTTGGCTCTGATATCATGGATCGATTCATGTTTTGCCGAGCCCAAAATCTTTTTGGAATAAGGCTTGAATGTTGGTGTTGTATTTATTTTGTTTGTTTCCCAATTTCAGCAACTATGCTTGCTGCACAGAGTATCCAGTTAGGCATCAATGATGTGGTTGTGGCTGGTGGCATGGAAAGTATTTCAAATGTCCCTAAATACTTTGCTCAAGCAAGGTGTGTATGTGTTGTCATAAGGATGAGTGTTTTTACAGGTTTGACACTTCTACGGTTTCCATCCCAAATGCCCTGTGCATTAGGGATAAGGATGTCCATTTGCAAGCAATGTTTGCGTTAATTAAAGTATCTGTGAATAGGAATTTACCAACATATCACCCACCAGATATGGGATGGAGTTGCTAACTTTCTTACCTTGGTTTTAAGATTTTGTACTCGTACCCTGGCTCTTATTATCAGGGGATTGTTAACTCAACTAGAACTATACTAATTCAAATTGTGATGTTGCTCTTGCAATTGTTGTAGGAGTTCATGGTGAGTTCTTAATTATCTAACTATATAACCTGCTTGAACTCGTGGCAGGACAGGATCTCGCTTGGGGAATGATTCTCTCATTGACGGAATCCTTAAAGACGGACTGTTGGATGTTTATAATGATTTTGGGATGGGAATATGTGCTGAAATTTGTGCTGAAAATCACAATATCTCAAGAGAAGACCAGGTTCATTTCCTTTGTACATTGAATAGAAAAAAGAAGAAGAAAAATTGGAGTTGGTTTTTATAAATTTGGATCTACTCAATTCATACAACTGCTATCATTTTGAGTTCAGTAAAGTGATAAGAGTTCAGGATTAGGTTGGGGTCGACCATAAGGCACTTGGGCTGAACCACAAAAAAAAAATAACTCAGTCCGAGGTCTTATTTATCAGTTATTTTCAATGTAATTGTCTAGTGCAGGACTAGCAAAATGAATCTACACATATTCTTTAACCTCTTTCTCAAAGTCGTTTGAAATGTCACTTGTGTTTATCACACCTAAAATATATGTGCAGGATGACTATGCAATTAGAAGTTATGAACGGGGTATCGCTGCTCATAATGCTGGAGCATTTACATGGGAGATTGTTCCGGTATACTCATAGAAAATAGCTTTAGATCTCATGGAGGAACTCTATGGTGGAGTTACTCCACACACAGTCAAGATGTGATCTTGTGGATAAATACTACTAGACCCCATTGGGACAATCCTGTGGGTGTTGCCCTTTTTTCTAGAAGAAATAGATTTAGCCGTGTTTAGGCAATCATGTTTTAGTACTAATTTACAGGTTGAGGTGTCCGTGGGAAGGGGAAAGCCATCCACTGTTGTTGATAAGGATGAAAGCCTGGAGAAGGTAAATAAGTACATCAACCCATATGCTGTATACATTCAGTAATCACAACTCACCAGTAGAGTGCACAGATGCTTCATATACTATGTTTTTTAACCTTGAAAAGAAAAAGATACGAAGGAGAAAAGGGAAAGCGTTTCTTTCCAAAGTGGTTTGCTTGATAAATCACGTAGAATGGTTCAAACAAAGTTTAGAAATACTTAGAATGCTCTGAATTGGAATCATCAGCCCTTTTTTTATGTGGAAAGGTTTAATGAGGAAATCCTAAAAAGGGGAAAGAGACTAACTAACTACTTAAGTGGCGGGGTCCGCTAGTGAACAGGGTAAAAGGGAGTGTCTGAGGAGAGAGGAGGGTAGGCTGGTATTCAGTTAGAACTTGGAGAGCAAGGCACTCTCGAATTGCCTAGACTTTGTCTTCTCTGATTCAATTTTCTGCACTCAACTCTGATCTGTAGCAGAGTTCGTTTAATACAATTCTATAATTTCCTTGTTTTCTGGATATTTGTAATGTTTCCTATCAGGATTATCTTAAAAATGCTCCTAGCTTGACGTAAAACGTGAAACTTTAAAATCACAGTTAATTGTAGGAACGCTATGCTCCGTAAAATTCTCTCCGTTGGATTAAATAAAAAACAAAATACTGAAATGATTCGCTAGCTATATGAAGCTTTTGAGCACACCAAGAAAAATGAAAATATATTGAGAAAAGGGTCGGATAGGGCCTCGAACTTACAAAAAAATGTCAAATAAGGCCTTATATAGGAGCTTCTGTCCGGCCGATGCCATTTGGGGTTGTTCCCGGTGGACTTTTTCAATGAAACTTTTTTAGCATCTTATTCATTAAGTCTAGTTTACTCATACCAATTTTCAGCTAAAACTTCAATCGGGAAGACATTCAAATAAATTCTCGAAGATAAGTGACTAAGTGAGCAGTTAAAAGCGCAGTTATCTTCAAGAATTTATTTGAATGCCTTTCCGATTGAAGTTTTAGCTGAAATTTGGTATGAGTAAACTAGACTTAATGAATAAGATGCTCACAAAATTTAATCGAATAATTCCACCGGGAACCACCCCAAATGGCGTCGGCCGGACAGAATCTCCTATATAAGGCCTTATTTGACATTGTTTTGTAAGTTCGAGGCCCTATCTGACCCTTTTCTCAAATATATTCGACCTTTTACAATTAGATCCCTATATCATGATGTTGCAGTTTGATGCTTTAAAGCTGAGGAAACTCCAACCAAGTTTCAAGGAAGATGGAGGCACCGTGACAGCTGGCAACTCTTCCAGCATGAGGTTTTTGTTTATTAATAATATTCACCTATACTTGATATAATAACTTTGCTATAACCATTAGAACTCACGTTTTCTTTAGCTGCGCCCACAAAAGTCTTTTAGTGAGAAAATACTACATTTGTTTTAATTTTTTCCTGTTTACATCATATGACCAGAAAATATTAATTTGAGGGAAAATAACATTATGATGCAATTTCAGTGATGGTGCTGCTGCTTTGGTCTTAGTAAGCGGAAAGAAAGCCAGTGAGCTGGGTTTAAACGTGATTGCAAGGATCATTGGGTATGCAGATGCTGCTCAGGTCTTCTCTTGCTCCACAATTTATTTCCCTGTTTGCGATATTTTTTTATGCTTTCACATTTGATGATGAGTATATATATGTCTTGCAGGCACCTGAATTATTTACAGTTTCTCCTGCTCTTGCAATTCCAAAGGCTATAAAAAATGCTGGTCTAGAAGCTTCCCAAGTCGATTATTACGAAATCAATGAGCCTTTTGCAGTATGACATCAGATAGACATGACTTCTTCCTTTGTTTTTTCTTTTCGTGGGGGTGGTGATATTTTGTTTCCATTTTGTGTTGTTCTTATTCTAATAAGTTGCACACTATGCATGCATGCAGGCTGTAGCTCTTGCAAATAACAAATTACTTGGACTTAATGAGGTGAGCTCACTCCACCTCTCCCTCCAAGTGTGGTGTCTATAATGCACCTATACAAATTGTTGAAGTATTTCACATCATATTTTTGTGATGGGGCCTTGGGGGCTTAATTTATGTTTTCCCATCATCGGTTAGGCACATGTTAAAGAACAAATAATGAGTAGTTTCTTACGCTTATAATTTTTGCAAAAGTACAATTAAACTGTAACTATATGTCACGGAATGACTTTCTTCTAGAACAATTAAACACAAAAGAATGCAATGTTGGAACAAATATACACTTATATCCAAATGGTTGAGGGTATATATGTTTGTTAAAATATAGTTATGGGGTATATGTGCCATTTGATGTATAGTTGAAGTGTACATTTGATTTAACATAACAATTTTTTGTGATTAATTGTTCTAAAAGAATGCTGGTGGGTATATTTGATTTGTTGCATATTTCAAGGCCACACCGGTTTCTTCTCCCAAAATTTTCCTTAAACTACCCAAACATTGGTGTTGAATGCGAGTTTTATTCATAATTGTATTAAATTATTGAACCACTTGTACTTTTTTATATAAAATTATCATATTCTTTTTTGAAACTTAAAATTGAAGCATATTAATCGCTCTTTACGATCATCTGTCTGTGGACAAGCATTATAAAATTGTCTTTCTTATAATATGTGGAAAACTTCATTCAGGATAAAGTTAATGTGCATGGTGGAGCCGTAGCTTTGGGTCACCCTCTTGGGTCCAGTGGAGCCCGTATATTGGCTACCCTTATTGGGGTATGTTTCTTTTTGAACTAATATATATACATGTCTGAGTGTGTGTGAGTACTCCATTGCCTCAAACTCACTATCTTATGGGTGACAAAGTTTTGGGGTTCATATTGATTAATGATGGCGTTCTTTTTCAACATATTGTCATATCTCTAATAATTAAAACAATTCGGATCAAACAGCTATTCCTATTCTAGTTTAGAGAAATTGAATAGATTGTACATAAATAGGTAGTTTGTATATGTGGTGTATACGCGTGCAAAGATCCCAAGGCGAATTCCGGGGAAGGACCACGTTGCTATAGATTTGTACATTGATGTCTCCACAAGGCGAAGTCTGGGGAAGGATCCCACCCTAACTTAATAGGGAGTTTATGCGTGCAAACAATAAGAAACTATAGGGCGTAAAACTAGTTGAGATATGAGCTGGGTGCATAATCTTCATAGAGTAGACATAAAAATGCAACGAAAGTGAATAGCAAAACATAATTATATAATTTCAACTTTCTAAAGAAGTCTGTGTGTGTGTGTGTGTGTTTGTACGTAAATATTACTCCTTAATATGTAGAGGTTAAGTTTCTTAGCATGGGGATGTAAGGAATTATAACTTGTAATTTATAGAGGTATTCATTTTAGAGATTTTAGTGTCACGACTGAATTCTACGCATGTGAGGTTACTTGTAATTAATTTGGGTGAGTGTTTGTGGTGGGGGGTCAGGTGCTGAAGCAGAAGAAAGGGAAATATGGGGTGGGGAGCGCATGCAATGGGGGAGGAGGTGCATCTGCCATTGTTGTACAGCTAGCCGCTCCCAGAATGTGAGATTGGGTATCCTTAAGCAGAAGGCTGAGGAAGTGCTGAGTTTCAAGTGAATGTGTTCATATATTGTGATCTCCATCTCCTTCCCAAATAAAAAAATTGGAGTTCGTTTGCATCACATTGAAGTACAGTAAATAAATAAAATTGTACAATAAACTCTGAATGACAAATGTTATCATTTAGATTTGCGTTCGCATTTTTCGCCAAAAAGTGTGTTTTGACTTCAAAAGTATATTCTATTTTATCCTAGAGCGATTCCTAACAATAAATGCCATTGTGACTCAAAAAGTAATTTAATAAGTAGTATAACTTTTGCATGTCGAGAATTCTATTTGGGTTTACATACTTCATTTATAGATAATTTTAAAGTTTGATAATGATAGTTTAGGGCAGATTCGGCAATATGATAGTTGAGAGAAATCAGAGAATCGTAAAATCATTCGAAATTTATCTAATGTGAATAAATGAGAGTGCGATCGATAGTTTATGGTATATGAGGAATAATGTTTACCAATTCTGCGAGTGTCCGTGTATGTACCATTGTAATTTTAATTTAACACGGTCATTCAAAACATGTATAAATGTTTAAAACATTTATTCATCGCAGTAGCAAATTAAGCCTAGGAATACAAGCGCCATTCCAACGCCCTTGTGCTTCTTTCCTTGCCTCCTGGGTTCAAATCACACTTCTGGATATATGATTACTGTTCTTACTAGGATTATCTTTAATCACTTTGTTTACGTACTCCAATTTCTTTTTATTGAAGTTTGTCACAGGTTTTTCATCTTTGCTTTTCTTCTCTTATTTCTCCTACGTTTTCACATTTCCTGGAATGTTCCGTACCACTACAGTTTTAGGCTTAATTTACGGAAAAAACCCTACTGGAGCAAGTAAATGTGAGTGCAAGGAGTATGCGAAATTGTGGAAAAAGGCACTCCCATTCCCCAACTAAATTGGAACCATTGTTCAGAGCAATGTAACAAAACAATAGTTGGGGGGGTAAATGTAGGTGGTATCAGAAAGCCAATAATTCATACTATACTCAAAAAACAACAAACCATAGCTTTATACTATGACTAGGATGCATTGTTGTTGAATTCTGGGGTTATTTACTATTTGCTGCTGAGGAGTCATTCGGGCACTGTACACGGGTCATCTCACACTATAAAAAAAGATGCTGGGTGTTAATCAATCAATCGGGTGTTTGTCTGCTTGGCGGGATGTGTAATGTGCAGAGAGTAAGAGCAGGGAAAGGAAAGCGCTGGCTACAAATATGGCATCAAACCATCTGTGGTAGAAATCAAACTGGATGTCCCCTCCCAGCACGTCTGTTATGATCATCCTGTACAGTCATCAAATACACCACACAATATCAATTAATGCCCCCAACATGTCAACTCTCTTTAATCAGTTTTCTTTCTGGAGAAGAGCAAAAGCAAACATTACCGATATTCAGTTGCGAGGCTCTTTCTGATCAAGAGAATAGAGGACACAAAATACATTCCCATTATTTCAGACAGGAAAAGCACCACGTTGCTAGACGACCCGCTCCCAACTCTTGAGACTGCAAAGAAGAACTGACATAACACAAAATTTGCTCAAGCACCACGCAGTTAGGATAGAAATACAGAAATAATGTACACAGTCATGTTCATTGTGTTGTGTATGATGCTTCTCCAAGTGTCAGATTGGATGGGGGGTTCTAGAGTGGAGGGATTTGGCAGGCTCAGGGCTCATTTGGTGTGCATTTTTTTGGCTTATCAGAAAGACTTTTCCCCAAACACAAACTTATTTGATTCTTCTGGCTGAACCAACACAAAAATTAAAACAACAATGCAAGAGTTATCTTATTACCCAAAATTAAAAATACCGACATTTAAACCTTCATTTGTTGATATTATTTTCTTCAATTTAAATTAAAAAACACACCAAGTAATTTTTGTAAGATAGTTCAGCAGATCCGGGCCATTTCAAGCACAAATTTAACTGAATAAGCCACTTCAGCCATTTTATGTCTTGCCAAACAAGATCATAATCTACATAATAAATAGAATGTTCCTAAAGTCGAGTACATGTTATTCCTTCCTTTTTCTCTATAAAATCTTAAATATATATCAAGATAATAAGATATAGATTTAATCCACCCAAAACCTCCATCCAAACTGACACCAAGTCCCTAGTGTGTTCTCTTAAGTGGGATTTCCACCTAACTCACCTAATCAAACAGATAAAACACTACAATTATGCGACAGATTATCCATATGCAGACCAAATAACCCTAAATGACAATAGTCAATAGTAAATGTACCTTCATCAAATTTGTCAAAAAACCCCTGACAGATATGACAACCAACATCCCAATAAATAAGAGTGATATATACTGCACATAAGAAAAAAGCAGTAAGCCAAATCTTGTTCCAAAGTAACTGATGAATATAAATAACAAATATTACACTGTTAAGGAAACGTATGTGGTTTGGTTTTCTAAGATAAATAAATCTCTGGTTTCTCAACTTCCTAATATCTTAATAATCGCATTAACAGAGTTGCAATAGAAAAAACCTGTGACAACAATGTTGCATTTATTCCTATGTCGAAAAATTGCAAAAATATACTGATTGTCCGCGTCACTGGATCAATAGAACCATCCTGTTAAGGAAAATCATGAGTTAGCCACAAGTCATGTGCATATTCTATTACAAGGGGAAAACTGCATAACTATAAAAGAATCTTAGCCACTAGAGAAGTAGAGATTGATGAAGTTCTAGAAAAACATACCTCCTTGAAGACAACACTTTGCAAAGACTGCCAAAAAAAATATTGACTAATCAATAACCTAAAATAACAGTTGTGACACAAACAACATTGTACCGGAAAGTGTAGTAAGAAGGAAAATCAAATTTGATCTATATCTTACGTACACTTAGACTTATATATAATAGAAATATATATAATGAGTTTCAACAAGTATCTCAAATTGATTTATTGAGTTTGAACTTTGAACTAAATTTTTTATTCTCCCCAGTATTTTTTTCCTTCCGAGTTACCACTTTATTCTTGTATGTGTGTTCCCTAATCCTTTTCTAGCATTTTCTTAACGACTTCTCCAAGAAAATAGGGTTAATGAAATTGCATCAACCACTGAAGTAGAGTTTGTAAAGACAAGATATTGGAAAGAGTAATCATGCTTATGATGAATGCTAATTTTTAAGTCATTTGCACAGACTAACAAGTATTTTTTACCTTGATCATTTTATACACACAATAGACAGAACAAGCATAACCCAAGAGATTCTGCATGTGACCTTTCCATGTACGGGAATAGGCAGCAGCTTCCTGAAATACACTTATAAATTGGTGAGTTACATGATATAGTAGTTCTGGACCATATACTATTGCTGATCCCAAAAAATGAACCCGAATAACAGTGCAACTGAAGTTGCAATTCACATCCTACCAAGGGGAAGTTGAAACAACAATCATGAAGATTTAAGAAACATCTCATGTGCGTGAGAAAGAGAAAGTAGTAAAATAAGCATGTCATGCAGGACCAAACAACCCTTCATGCATATTTCAGTAGTAATATTCTAAAGACTATTTTATGACGACGACCCCATGTGGTAGCATTAAAAAGCTATTCTTCTTATCAGCAGAATAATCATAATAAGTAGCCTTTGACATACATTTTTGGCTGAAACTGATTTACCAAATGTTTCCCCGCACAGAACATTTCTAGATAGACTCAGTTATCTCAGCTAAATAAATCTTACCCAATGGATGCTTTAAAATATCTTTAAAGATTAGGAACAGTAATTTCTAGAACAGACACAATGACACATCAATATGAACCTTAGCTTGGCGAAGCTCGTAGATTTCCAAGAAAAGTTGCTTCGAGAGTTCTTCCAAAGCTTGAACCTCAGCTTCCATATTCTTTATATCTTCAACAAAAGAGCATGTATAATTATGGACTCATTGAATGAATATATTTGAATAAGCTCGCCACATCGAGAAACAACCTATAATACAACTGTTTATGTTCAACCCACTATGCAATAATCAAACTTGATGAATTGATAGTAAAGAATAAAGATCTGTGTATCACAGTGTATGTAGTTAGCAGCAAAATCTAACCCTGCTCCTTTTGGTCATCCTGAACAGATCGCACAACTGTTCCTACAATTCGTTTCAGGAAAGAACTAGCATTTGTTTTCTGCAACACAGGCAACAAGTTCAAAATCATCAAAGCCACGTAAAATAGTCCCACCTGTCTGCCAACCCATCAGACCTCTTTTAAAGCATCACCATACCAAAAATAAATAAAAAACAAAAGGACAGTGACATTTATATTTCCTCTAAATTACGGTTGATCTTTGAACTTCTCATCTGATTCAAAATTGAACAGATAGCTGAAAGTGAAGAAGCAAAAAGGGATGGAAATTGGAACCAGATAATTATACCTCTTCCGCTCCTTGAATCCGCTGAATTTCTATTTGGCAAAGAATGATTCTCTTTTTCTTGGCAGTGCTGGTCTCAATTGACTGAATTAGCTGCCTTTCTACTGCCTTGATCTCTGATTCCTCAATTTCTCTGCCACATTAGAGCAATACTTGTCACTACTGTAACCAAACGAGTAGACAACAGATAACCAACAACAAAATGTATTGAGCACTCTTTGTTATCCCGTTAAATTAAGCACAAACGGTACAGATTAATGAACTACTGGCTCCATTTCAAAATAATGGTCACTTTGGATATAAATTCTCCCTACAAAACATCGGTCACTTTTCATTTTTCAAGATGAATTCAATAATTTTCCCAACTTTGCGCTTTTCTTAAATTTGTGTGATATATCTCATTTATCTTTATTGAAAGAGTAATGTGGTTATTTACTAAACCTCTAACACAATTATACAAATTGAATGAGTTGCTTAATTTTGTACTCACTTTGTCCATTTTTTCATCTTCTGTTGTGAAGCAGAAAAATAGAAATCAACAGGGTAAACTGTTGCCAGATAATCAACGATAAAAATACCGTTGCCCAGAGCCAAAAGGCTAAAACCAATTTTATTCCAAGATGATAATATTGAACCCTGGCGAGGGGTATAAATAGCCTTCTACAAACAACCCTAATAAAGCCCAAATTAATTAAATCTTAATTAGACCCATACTAACTCTACTAAGTACTCTACTAATAAAAGGCTCAAACCAAAACATAACATTAACTTAATAATAATAATTAAACTATAACAAATGCCCTAACCCGGCCCACGGAAGTGGGCCCAAGCCCGGTCCCGTCCCATGCTCTTCCCGCTTTCTATCAATCCATCC